CTCAACATACTGAAGACTAACATCACTGTTATCAATAATGATAGCAATAACTGATGATGCTGTTGGTGGTGTGCTCTTATCAAGGGACTCAAGGACAAGAAAGTCTTGTGAACCAACGTTTACTTCTGAGCCGTCTTCAGGGTCACTAGGCAGCGTTAGTGTCAGGGCTGGGGTCATAATTGCTCTATCCGATTTTGGCCCTTCTTGATGCATTTCTCTTGATGTCGCTGTATAAACAGAGTTGTTTAAGGTAGAATATTTAAAAACATTATCTTGTTCGGCCTTCACGATTCCCTGGGATATATCATCTTGTGTCAATAGTGTTGACTCGGCCATGCTGTCTTGTGTTTGATCTGTACCTTCATATTCACCAACCTCATTAGCCTTCATAGGGCTCTGTCCATTATTTAATTCAAGTCTTTCTAAACAACTCTCCTCATATTTTATCTTAAGTCCAGCTTTTTCAACAGGACTTTGTGGCATGTCACGTGATTCGTCTTCAAAATTGGTCACGTGGGTAAAGCCCGCATCAAAGTCAAGAATGCTTAAACTATCGGCTCTAGAAGTGGAAGGTGAGCTTTCAGAAAAGGCGAGTGAATCCTTCGACAAGTAGCTAGAAAAAAGTCCATGTTGATCATCTTTATTAACGACTTCCAACAGGTCATTTTGACTTCCCTGTACTGTTGTCCACGCATGCGTACCTCTCCACTTCCTAGTTGCCATTGCAATGATATCCTCCTGTTCCTTCTCTATTTTACTGGCGATTATTTCTGCATACCGTCTGTAGTCTTTTCTCTTATTGATGTCAGTCAGTTCCTCGGAGACTTCACTCTTGTAACTCAAACCAGGAGGCAACGGTGTTGTGTCGTTAGTGGTGGTGTTGGGGACCACGTTGCATTGTGGTGTTGAAGCTCGAGATCTTGATAGACGTGCATGGTTGCCGTTACTGTTGTCGTCGTCGTTGTTGTTGTTAGTGGTGGTGGTGGTGTTGGTGAATGTGGTAGTGGTGGTGCTATTTCTATTAGGCTGTCTTGTCCATACTCGGGATATGGATCGACTTTTAATGCCTGTTGGTCGTGGTAGCTTCGATGGACGAGCACTGTTGCTACTATTTTTGTTGTCGTTGTTGTTTTTGCTGCTGTTGTTGTTGCTGCTGTTATTGTTGTTGSTGCTGCTGTTGTTGATGCTGCTGCTGTTGGTGCTGCTCCTGCTCCTGCTGTTGCTGGTGTCGGTGGAACTAAGTAATTCAGACTGTGGCATCGGTCCTGTGATTCTAGATGAAGTCTTGAAGCCTGTCGGCCGTGCTGGCTTCGAGAGATTTCCATTATAATTGTTGCTATTGTCGCTGTTGATGTTGACGTTCTTGCTACCACTGTCGTTGCTGTTGCTACTGTTTTCGTTTGTGCTTTTGTCGATACYGTTGTCGCTGTTGCTGATGTTGTTGTGGTCGTCGTTGTGTTTTCTGCTGCTGTTCTTTCTATTATTGTTATCGCTAGTAGGGGAAGTTATCATAGAGTGTTCTGATGCTGGTCCTTCGGATCGAGGTTTATTGACATCACTTCGATAAGGCCTTGGTTTTCGTCTCTCATCACGAAAAGTTAAGACAAGGCCAGTGAAAGTGAAATGAACATCCAAACAAGAAGAAACGAGAAGAAAAGAGTTCATTTTGAAAAAGAGAAAAAACAGAACAGTTAGTTGAAGGATACAGTTAAACAGAAGGTAAGAAGAAGACCCTATAGACGACATTTAAGTGTGAACTTTTTACCAACTGAATAGCAAGATTAAATATAGACAGTGTGGGCCTGTCACTGAAGGCTGGTAATGAAATTCATATGACATACATTCAGCTGACTGATACAAGGCAATAGAGTACTCTTTGGTTGATAACACATGACGGGCAGTGTTTGCCTGTCAATGTAGGCATTAGTGAGATTCATGAGATTCATTCACATGACGGGCAGTGTTTGCCTGTCAATGTAGGCATTAGTGAGATTCATAAGATTCATTCACATGACGGGCAGTGTTTGCTTGTCAATGTAGGCATTAGTGAGATTCATGAGATTCATTCACGTGACGG